ATAAATCTAAATATCCGATGCTCAGATACCCCTTAATACAACAAGGCTGCTAATTCTGTAACCCCATTAGCAAAATTATATTCATTTTACAATTCATAAAAAGATGTAAAAATAATTTTCACGTATGCAAGCATTTGTCAACTTTCCAGATTGGTTGAAAAGACATGATTCTATAAGATTTCAGATTTATACATGTTACCACTCCAAGGACCTATAAGTATAACATTTAAAACTGAGATTTAGTCTGTATATAATTCCAAACAAATATTATGCAATATTCTAGAAAATTAACCCTGTAGTACAGAAGTCAAATAAAATGAGGTGTGTGTTGAGATTATGAGACTAATGAAGAAATCAATCAGAGATCTTTCATTAGATGAATAAATAAGCATAATTCATGTACATAAACTTGAAATTTGGCAAAATATAAGATTATCCTATAATGTGTAAATCTGTAACTTTGGAAACATTCTCCTGTTCAAATATATTAAATACACTGTACAGGTAAAGAAAAACAAGAAAACACAAAACAAAATTATTTCATATATAATTTATTGCATACTCTTGGTTGATAAAATGTTTATTACAAATCATTAGGTCTAGATCATTCTTTGCACATTCTGAGAGTTGAAGGAACGCTTAGAGCGAAGTGGTTGTTTCATTTAATACTCTATAACAGCTATTAAGTGTACGTGACAAGAGCCTCAGTGACGATACTTGGAGGTCCGACTCATAAAAGAGGTCGTCCCATTGTGGCGTGTAGGAAGTAAGACATCCGGTCAAGCCTCGTAACTGTGGATCCTGTGCTTTGCTGCTAGTGTTGAACCCTCTTTGATATTATAGTTTGGATATAACAACAGCTGATGATGTCTTCGATGAAAAAGGGTTTCAATACACAAGCATTGGTTAAAATGTTAGAGTGAAAAGCTTGCTCTTACTATTTTAAGTGTAAATTTGAATTAGTCAACTAAATTTTCACTGTACAGTCAATACTTTTAATAGAATAAAATCTGAAAATGTTCATCACAATATGACACTTTTTTTTTGCAAAAACACAAGAGGGAACCAAAAGTAATAGTTCTGACTTTGGTAGTCTTTAAATGAGAAAAAACTAAGTGGCATACCATGAAGCTATGTATTTCATAAGAATAACAACATGAGAAAACAACAAAATCAATAAATATATAGTGAAGAACACAAAACACAAGTACCAAACTTCTGCTAACGGTTCAAAGATGTTCCTTATACATTAATTTCAGGCGTTTTTCACTGAGAGCTTTACACTCAACCATCTAATTTTTCCCACTTTAAGCAGCAAATATTGGACATAATGGAGAAAGAGTTGAGCTTTGTTAAAGAGTTAAAGTTTTACATCAGTTGTAATATAAATGTGCAAGATTAGTAAATTAAAAGATGCACTTTCAAAAAAGAAAAAAAGATGAAAAAAAAAAAAAAAAAGATAAATTAAGGAACACGTGATACTTGGTCTGAGCTGCCGTGGCAACCGAAAATTGTGTAACATCACTGAAAAAGCACATCACAAGTGGATAAATCCTGTGTAATAATCACTAAGATTTAGTTATTTGGCAGTGAAATGCAAATCAGGTTCAAAATATTGTTCAATCGCATTTAGCAGGTTGTGAAAGAGAGCTAGAATATATCAGAATGAAAACTACTAAATGAAATATTAAAAAAAAAAAAAAAAACTTCAAATACCCACAATAGTTGTAAGAACCAGCTAGAACGGGTCTAGTTACAATAGTTAACTCTGACCTAAAACTCTAAAAGACAATAAAAAGGTAAATACAAAGCCACCCTCAAAATTAAATAAAAATATATACCTGAGACTTCAGAGTCTGGGCGCAAAAACATTAACGTGAAAAGAGGAGAAACAATGAAAAGAAATAATCACAAATCAACACTGAATAATAAAATTCTCCTTGATACCTTTTCTATCTGTCAGGCAATTGCATTACAGAGGCGCTGGTCTGTTCTTTCTCAAAGGGGGGGGTATGTGAAAAAATGAGGGGGGAAAAAAAAAAAAAAAGAGAAAACTAAATAAAAACTTTACAAGGAAAGGAAAACAAAGGCTCTGTCATTGCACTGGACTATGTTAAACTACAACAATAACAAAAAACTATTATGACAAACATTCATCACAGGGTTTATTTTAATACTATTATCCTCCTTTTTTCTCCGGTAAAATAAAAAATCGAAATCAAAATATATATATACTATAGGCAGGGAAAAAGAGACAGAAAAAAACAAAAATAAAAAAATCAAATATAAAACAATACCAATGCAATCTGTATCAATAAACTCTTTCAGTTCATGAAACCCATAAACCAAGATAAACCTGTCAAGGACACCAACTGTGAAGGTGACACGAGTGGCATAATTATGGGGTTATGGTGTGGTGATCCTGGAAAGACCCTTGTAGCAGCAAAACAACATTAATAACATCCTCTCAGGTGCAAAAAAGGAGGCAGAAGTGACAAGCAGGTGTAAACCCACCCCCCCAGAGAAGCATAAGAAACGTATGCACAATTACACAGCAAAGCAAAACTTGGATTGTGGTCGTTGGTATACCAAAGAGCGGGTGTTTTGAAACAGATTGAGAGGACAGGAATGAGAGAATTAATAGCAAAGACGGAATGGGATCAGAAGGAAAGGGGTAGGAGGAGAACACCCGCTTTCTTTAGACTCGGAAATCCAATCACGCCCAAATGCCTCACACGCACACTCACTATTTCTGTGGAAAGAGATCACCAAGCGCATCCAACCTGCATGGTACACAATCATACCCAAAATCAACTAACAACAACACAAATCACTCGGAATATTAGGGTAATAGGGATACCTTCCCTCATTACATTGGAAAATCACTTTCCAGTCAGTATAACTAAGACCCTGCTATTTGTTAACTTTCCCACTGAGGCTGATGCATTTACTTAAAGGTCTTACTAATTAAATGAGTTAGCCCTTCACTGATATTTGATATTTACGACTAAACTATCCCAAAAAGTGTAAAAAAGACAAGAAAATGAGACTATTGTCAGGCTAGAATGATGATGAAGACAACAATGGCACAAAATGTTAGGAATGTTATATGGAGGAAATCATTTGCACACACACACACACACACACTCTGCTCTCAAGAAGGGATAATATACTCATTCAAAAAATAGGGAAATTCACCTTTATAACACATATCCTCTCTGAGAAAGTTATGCCAAACGCAACAACGGTTCATACTAACAGAGGCACTTTGAGTACCTGTATCTCCTGTGCTTAAATAAAAAAAAAAGCAATGTCACCCTTTACAACAACTAATTTGCTTCAGTTGCCACTTATCACATCGTCTTCCCGCAAAGGATGAAGAGGGTAAATGAACTCTTAATGAGGGAAGGCACCCTTATTTATATTAAGAAAAAAATAAACAAAAAAGGTCAGATGAATCTAGGGCAAAACCATAGTAATAATTTCTTTCATCTTACTAAAATATTTACAAATGTTCACCATTCTATTTAACATTTCCCTCAGACATAAATAAGCAAGGTAGGGGGATCTCAACAATCACTGTCATTGCTGATCATATATTTTTTTTTTTTTCCTTTTCACTTCATCATTTCCTTTTGTTTAACAGAATAGATAGGAAGGAGGAAGAGAACTAGGGCAAGGTTGGTAGGATCAGGGACATTCAACTAAAGCTAGTATAATGCATGGGAATGCAGGAAGAGAGACCAGTATTTGCATTACCAATGACAAAAAAGAAGAAAAAAAAAAAGACAACAACGGTAGAAAGAAAGAAAGTGAGCAGTGACACTGGCTAAATGAGGGAAGGAAAAAAAAGATAATAGTAGTAACCATGAAAAGGGCAAGCACACAACACTCTGGAAATGTTGTATGGCATATAAGCATCATCAACAGTATTAATACAGTAGGATTTATCAGTGTCTCAACAAATAACTTCAAAAGTATGAAATTACTTTAAGGTCACCCCACACACCTACCAACAATTGATTGTGTGAAATGCTCAGGATCTGCCATTATTTACCCTTGACCCAGGATTGGAGATAGTGTTTTTTTGTTTTTTTTTTCCTAATTTTAAATATTTTTAAACACCGAGAAATCAAAGTGGAGATATCACCTTACAATATAAAATTATTTTTCTTCCAATTGTAATCAAAGAAGAAAATGGTTACTCTAGCCAAGGCATTGAGAATAAATACTGGAAAGTTTCCTATGTTCCTGACTGAGAGGCATAAACGGCTGACAACACCAGTCCAAGAACTTTTTTTCTTCTTTGTTAATTTGATATTAATCCTGGCTCATCATCAGCCTGGACTGTACATGTAGAAAACAAAGAAAAAACAAAAACAAAAACAAAACCATGAGGTAACTCCTAGCTTTTGATGAACCAGGGGTCATGGGTTTAGTTGCATGAGCATCAACAAGCGTTAACTAAACCTATTACAGCTTTGGTGGTTGGCAGTCGTGCCCTGACATCTTTCGCACGTCCTCAAATTCTAAAACTACGACCCCCATCCTGGCAATAGTCCCCATATTGGCTCCTAATATTGGAAGAAAGAAGATTATGGCCACAGGGAAGAGACGGACGACGACAGCAGCGGTTTGCCCAGGTTATATAGATTGCCATGTCCATAAACGATAAAAAAGCTGAGGCTAAAACTTTTTTATTTTTCATTTTTCTTCACTGTTTATAATTCGATAAACCTGGCTAGTCAACTTTTATTCTTAACTAATTCCCAGCATAAAATTGTATCTAACAACACTGACATGCATCCTGCTGGATAATGTGGTTTTCTTCGTACATCTCGTTTCTAACAATCAGTCATTTTCTATAGTTAGCGAGACACAAAGTAGCCAAAGCTTTCTTCCATTTAGAAACATGGTAGTATGCATGGCCATTGAATAGCAGCTAATGCATCACTAATTTTCATTTTTTGTGCAATAAAACCATAAAAGAGGAGAGAGAAAAAAAAAGGAGAAAAACACAAGTACAAGTATTGGCCGTACTCGAGTCCAGCACCTTCGTCCAGAGGTCACTCGTTCAACAACAATGAGTTCTGCTTAATGAAATCAGTGGGGTCGAACCAACCTATGAGCAAGAGAGAGAGTTCTAGCACTAATGGAGCTAAACCACTGCTACACACCATGCCCTTTGACTCTCCCAGCAGCCAATCACAGCAAAGGTGGAGATATCGATCAAGTTGAGGCTTAACAGTATACCACACAATATCCACTATCAGTTGGCACGCATGAATGCCCGGCCCCTGTAATGGAAGAAAATATAGTTAGTTTCATATTTGTGGAAAGAAAATATGTTTTCATCATTATAAATATCAATATACCCAGGAAATGTTTAGTACAAATGAGGCAAATTTACCCAATACTTAAACAATGATACCCATTTCATTATTTAAAGAAATGTCAGTCACTATAGATCTATAGCAGATGTCTCATTTCATCACCCAATGATTTGTTTTACACTAAATAACTGACAGTAGCACATAAGATAAAAAAAGGAAAGAAAAGGATCAGAAAAAAAAAAAACGTTCACTCATTGCTAATGAATAAGGTGCCATCAAACCCTAGATGCTTTATTATGTCATGAGCAGTGCATCATGATGTGGAGACATCATGGCTGAGGTTGTGTAATTGTTCATAAATGAACATTGTTTAACCCACTAGCGCTGGTACATTTTCAAGCCAAAAATTATAGTTTCCGGGCTGCTTTAAGGGGACCGTCCCGGAAAATGGCCACCTTTCCCTACTCTATACATCATAAAAAAATATCGGTTAGAGATAACTGATTGATTCTTTTTGCATGCTATAGAGTAAAGAATTGCACTCCGTTATATATATAAATTTTAACTTTGCTTCCCCATTGGGGGGGGGGCACCCCCCAAAAAGTTGAAAAAAATCGCTATTTTTTTTGGTATGTCTTCGGTACATCCCAACTATCAGAGCTCTTTACAGAATATTCCCCCAAAAATGCTAGTGTTAGATCAACTCTAGCCTATAGCCATGTAAAAGGCCGAATTTTGAATTTCCTTTTTTTTTTGGCGGGGGACAGCTTGACATAGAGAACTATTTTTGAATGCGTTTTTCAGCATTAAAATATTATTATTTTTTGATTAAGGCAAAAATTCAAAAATCGGCCTTTTACATGGCTATGGGACGCCGAGGCTCTAGTGAAAGCAACAAACTGCATTTGGATCGCATGAAAATTACGTGAGTTGGGAAGTACCGAAGTCATAAAAAAATAGCCGAGCTACGGCGTTTTGTATTTGGCACCTTGCCAAAGTTCGTTATCTCTGTTATTTTTCTCTGAATCTAATGATATTATATATCAAAAAAACGCTTATTTAGTGTACTTTGCAATGCAATGATTACCAAGTCAATAGGAATTTTCATGTTCAATAGGGACGCTATTCTGTAAAGGTATGTCACTTTTTTTTTTTTTTTTTTTTTTTTCGTTGTTCATTAAAGTTGATATTTTCGTGTGAAAAGCTTAATAAATGCATTTTACCATAGAGACAACTAATCTAAACCAGATAAAAACCTTTTTAAAAAAAATATTTTTTTTTATTTTCCATTTTTTTTTTTTTTTTTTATTTTTGAAGAAATGGGGAACTGTGGATGGCAATATTAGTACAAAATCATTCTAATTATAAAGTCCTGGCATGAATACAACATGGTGGTTCAATTTTGAGAATTTCAAAAGCATATGAATTTAGTACATTGAATTCGAGAACTTACGAAAGTCGTTGAATATTCCCCATGCCTCACACAGGGGGGGGGGAGGGGGAGATGGTCACTGGGTGTTTATAATTTTCGAGGAGGATCATATGTACGTGAACGCACGCACATAAAGTTAAAAAGATTAATCATCATCATTTAGTAGGCCTACATTGACTTTCATATCTAAATAATAAAATTTATTAGTTATCCCTATCATACCCATTTTCTTTGATAATTGTCAATATTAGCAGATTGCAAGGGAGAACAAGTGTAAAGTTTATGATTAGCCATTTGCACCCATTATCTTTACTAAGAAGTGCATAAAATCATGCAGACGCCTATGTGTTGTGGGATATTTGCCAATTTATGGTGCCTAAGACTTACGGTAACGTCTAAACATATTCATTTTTATCGGGAACGCACGAAACGGATGCGATAGCTTTTTGAACGCCAGACGAAGACTACGCATACAACCGAGCTCAAAATTCCATATAGTTTTTATTTCAGAGCAGGTATTACTGAGTACTATCATCTTCAACATGAAATAATCTGTATCTCGCTTATACATCCGAAGTTTAAAAATCCGACATTTAGGTAACATTCGTATTGAATTGGTCTTTACAACGGTAACTGCCAATTTCAAATCAATTCAAATTGCCCCCTGCTGTGATGTACCGACCGTTGAGCGAAATGTAACGGAAATATTTCAATCCTTCCTTATAAGGCTATTTTTAAACATTAGTGCTTCGTATGTGATATACGTATATATTACCACGTAAACTAAAACATATTACCAGGGAGTCTCGATCAAAGCATATTTCGTGTGTAAAAGGACACAAAACATACATTTTTTTTAGATATATTTCACAAAATATTTCGTCATAAATCACGGTGATATAATTTTTTTCTGATATTGGTATAAAAGTGTTCCTTGAACATTCACGAACTCATATCTATGCGCAATGTCATAATTAAATGCCTTATGCACGATTGCCGCAAGCAAAAGTCCACATAGGTGTACCTGGGCGCTCAATAGCGACGTACCTCTCCGGGTGCTGAGGGACTCGCACGCCGGCTGCAAGACAACGAGCCATAGCAGGCGGTTAATACTCGTTTGGTAGTTTCCTCATCCATGTACCTATACTATACGCTAACTAACTCAATTTAACCCCCTCCTCCCCCCTCTCTCAGGGACGGTCCCCTTAAAATCGGTGCGCGGGCCAGTCCGGGAACCAGCCCGCCCACTGCCTGCCACGGGCAACAAAATTAGAGTGCGAGCTCCAATCTAGCGTTGCACCGGTGGGACACCCGGGAATAATTTTTATTCTGGTCGTCTCACATGTGAGACATCCAGCACAAGTGGGTTAAAAAGATCTCATAGTTGGGTTAAGGGAATATGGGTCTGGCAATGTATGATAAAGTAATATTACATGTTGAAATAATTATTTTTTAATTTGTAAAAATGTTCTGAGCTCCAGCATTTTTCCAGTGATGAACCCTGATACACCCATCCACACTCATACTTTATCAAAAAACTTGTCTATTGCCAATCAGTTCATGACAAACTTTATATTTCATTGACAGTGAACAATGTAACTACAATATTACTGCAGTAGAATGCCTAAACACATACATGCATATACAGACACATACAACAGTCATTCTATGGCTAATCATATCTCTTCAGATGAGTGATCAAAAGTGACACTGAAAAAAAAAAAAAAAAAAACAGAAAAACACACACTTTTCAACTAAAGAGAAGGCTTGTATTGCTTGATTTCCATATTCTGTTAAGCACCTCAAACTTCATCAACTCCTTGATGGTTTAATGGCAAAATATACGGACAATGTGAGAATTGTGTCTCCACTTACGTTGCAGTTTTCTTGTCCCCTGATGTTTTGCTCGGTTCAGGGCGCGCTCTGTTGAGAACTTTAAGGAAGTCGCTGGTCTTGGCGCGCATACGAGTGTGAATATATGCCTTGCTACACTTGATGTGGTAGTGAAGGTAGTCACGGAATATGTGAATCAGGTTTATGGTGTTGTCTCTTGCAGTCTTACAGGTGTGCCGTGGGAATAATACTGCAAAGGCAATAATTTCAGCATAAGTGAGGTTAAATTTTGACACTGATACATGTCTATTCCTTCCTAATTTAAGACGAAATTCCTTCAACTTATTGCATACAATGACTGTTAGAAAATGATTTCTGTTTACTGCATCTTAACACTGGATATCCACACCCGAATTATGAATTTATCAGTTCAGTCTCGAATTTTGCTAGGGGGAGTCTACTCCCATGGAAATGCTTGATTCAGTATCCAACACAATAAAAGAAACATAATTTTGACATTGTGTAATTTAGCATCTCAAAATATCAAGAATAGATCCCAAGACCAAGATGTCTCACAAAAATTACAGAATTATTGTTTCACAAATAGTCTGCTATTAGTTATGAATATGGGTGGTATTACTTACCAAATGTGATATATCCAATATTTTCTCCTACTCTGGCCCCAGAGTCCTGAAGTTCTAGTGGGGGCTCCTTGTGAGAGAATAATACATGTGGTGCTGAAAAGCAAGATGTATGCAAGTTTAATGACAGGCGTATCATTGAACATCCTTTATAAATTCAATTCACTTCCACTTACAAATACTCTCTACACAACATCAATGTTTATATTAACAACTTTAAAACTGTAAGACATTTAGATGTTATATAACTGCAATTCATATAAAATTATTAAACCTTAACCTATCCCTTGATCCAGGCGACATGACAATCCTGTCATGAAAAAAATAGCCTGGGGGCTGAATAACGGGAATATATTGTCATGAAAAAATCTGGCACAGGCTGGGGTGATGGGAATGAATCAACCAGTGTTCTTAGACAGTAACTAGATGTAGGAGGGGCATTTGGGAAGGGGCTCTTGTATTCTTTCCATTAAAATAATAAAAATAGAACAAAATCGCACGTATTGTTATTTTCATTGCAAAGACTTATAGACTAACTAGAGATATGATAAGGAGTCTATGCAAGGAAAAGATTTTATTACCATCTTCATATAGCATATCTAATAAGAAATACAGACCTTGGAAAATGATAAAATTGCAAAAAAATGGTTATGCAGAAAGAAATAATGATATAGCAAAGGGTGTGTGTGGCCTGTATCAAATAGGATAATTCACAAGTCACTAAATATTTCTGACAATGAGAGTAATGAGATCCAAGTATCATTGGATAATAATTCAAACATACAAGAATTAAATGACAGAATTATGAGGGGGCTTCAAAAAGTCTGTGGAAAAAGATAGTATGAAAAATGATTTCAGTTATGATGTTTATTTTTCAAATTATGCTCCATTAAGGTCGAAACACTTCTGCAAACATTGATACCAGCCTTTAAGTTCTTCTGAGTAGAACTGAGGGTCTTGTGATCTGAACCATGTCAGAGCAGCTCTTTTTAGATATTCAACTGATGGAAAATTGGTACCTTTCAATGTTTTTTTTTCAATTTTGGAAACAAGAAGAAGTTGGATGGGGCTAAATGAGGGCTGTAAGGGGGATGTCGGATGATTTCCCATCAAAATTCACATAGCACAGCTCTTGATTGCAGAGCACCGTGAGGGGGTGCAGTTTCGTCATGGAAGAGGATGTGTTGATGCAGCTTTCCAGGGCATTTTTCCGAGATTTTTTAGACAGTTTTCTCAAAACGCCTTCATAATGAGCAGATGTAATTGTCTTCTTGTTCTCGAGGAAGTCAACTAGCAAAACCCCTCTGCATCCCAGAAGACTGTGGCCATAACTTTTCCTCTTGAATACTCAAATTTTTCTTTGACTGGTCCAATTCTACCCCAGGGCAGCCACTGCTTTGATTGATTTTGTCCTCAGGATCGTACTGGTAGAGCCATGTCTCATCCTGTCATAATTCTTTGCAGAAAAGCTTTAGAGTCCCCATTCGTCTATTCTTTTCAATCAAGTCACGAACAGCATCACTGTTTTCCTCACAAACTGACATTGTTGGCCTGCCACTGCCGGGCTCATCTTCAACTTTGGTTTTTCCACTTCTGAAGCTAATAATACATTTGTAGGTTGTTGACTTTTTGGGGGCATTATCACCATACACTTGTTTCAGTGTCAATGCTTTGCCTTTTCTCCCAACCAAGTTTCACCATAAACTTTATGTTTGTTCTGGTCTCGATTTTGGTGGATTTCATGTTGCTTGAATGGTGCCTGACTTTCCACTGGTGGCAATGCATTCTTATCTGCATTTAAGGGTTCATGTTTCAACATGTTATAACACATTAGTACAAGAATTAAAATCCTTCCAAACAATTTTTTGTTATGGACTTTTTCCACAAACTTTTTAAATCACCCTCATATATGTAATTCTGATCAAGATACTGAAATGCATCAGATGCATTTCTTGCATTTGTTTCTTATTCATATTCATACCTTTCCTATACTTGTCACAAAAAATCTTTCGCTCTGATATCTCATTTCCTCAGAAGTCTGATCTCTATTTTGATGTCACATATTTAAGTTTATATTTCTACACAGAACTGAGCTTCCTTACTCTTTTGCCTTTTATCTAAAATAGAATGTCAGTCAGGAGGAGAGAGAAAGGGAGAAGAAAGAAAGACGAAAAAAAAAAAAAAAAAAAAAAAAAAAAATAGTGCTTTGATTGTATTAAATCATAATAAATGCATATCCTCCAAGTCACCAATCTAATTTCTATAAGCTGTCTAAAAATATCAAAGCTTAACACAAAAACTATGTTCAGGTGATAATTTTCAGGCTAATGAAGTAAATATCCTCTCTCTTATTTAAAAGAGAAAATGCTGAAATATGCCATAAGGGTAAAAATTAAACCATTATGTCTTTTATAAATGTTCAATTTTTTTTTCTTTTCCTTCCCATCCTCCTCTGCCCTGTTCAGCTCACAGGCATGGAACAATGAGAGCCTGAGTCACCAATACCTCTCCTTATCTACATTATCAGCTGGCAGGAGGATGCCTTTTTTATCTGATGCTGATAATAAAGAGGGCTTTGTACACCCAATTTAATAAAACAATATCCGAGTTAAAACTAAAGCAATTTAATTCCAAAGTTAAAAGCTAGAACTGACCTCAACCAAAATGAACCATTTTTCTTAAACACTTCTGCCATAAATATAAAATGTATAAATGCGTAAAAAAAATTACCTGTTTGACTCCCTCTCTTGCCTTCCTTGAATTCTTGCATAAACACTTTGCCAATAATTACATCATCAGGATCCTTAAAGATTGTACTGAATACCACCGTCACTCTGTCTGACTTGGCTTCTACATACCTGGAAAAAATGGATGAGCTTTGTCAATGAACAGGTGAAAACAAGGAAACACATACACTCATTCTCCTTTATAAATGCATTTGTTTGGTGGTGTGATATTTATGATCATGAAACTCCAAAGATTCTAAAAGATTAAATGTTCAAAATAATATTCTATTTAGTTTTTAAATATATAGACAAATAAAAATAAAGCTAAAAACTTGAGGACAATGGTGATAACTGACATCAGAACAAAAATATTACTGTTCTGAATGTATACACATTTTAATTAGCAAGAAGTATACCTTCTCCCTTTATGAAGTGAAGCCTGTGTAGGAAGCTTTTGGAAGATCACATGCTAAGTGTTTATCATGAAGCCGTACCAAATAATTAAATGTACATTATATGTATGCTAATGATATGATAGTTGACATAATGGATGAAATAATTAAAATGTTGTGACATGCATTGTAAAAGCTTGTGACACACTTCTCTCATTGACAACCAAAGTGGAAAAAAGTGGAAAATGAAGAGAAAAAGATAGGCAAGGGAGGAAAAGGAAGTGGAAGGGGGAGATAGGAGGGGAGAGAGGGGAGGAGAGGGAGGGGAGAGGAGAGGGGAGAGGAAGGAGGGAGGAGGGGGGGGGGAGAGAGAGAGAGAGAGAGAGAGAGAGAGAGAGAGAGAGAGAGAGAGAGAGAGAGAGAGAGAGAGAGAGAGAGAGAGAGAGAGAGAGAGAGAGAGAGAGACAACACACAGTCTCACAGGGAACTCAAGTCATACAGTCATCATACTCACATAGTTTCCTCATCTCTGTAATGTATAACAGCCCTCCTCTGGCCATCTTCAACACCCTGCTCCTGGAACTCAAAATACTTCTGGAAGACTGACGCAAAGCAGTTCCTCTTGAGGAGACCTATCTTCTTGACCAGCACTTGCCAGTCTTCGGGCAACTTCTCCAGGTCCAAGAGCAAGGAGACGTTGAAGCCTGACTCAGGCTCCGACATAAGCAGGGAGCCGTACTCCTGCTGTACGAGTTCGTCCGCCCCATGTTCCTGGAGCTCCTTGTAGAACTTTAATGAGATGCTTATCTGTGTTGGGAAAGGGAAGAAAAAACTGAGTAAGCTGAAACTGAAATGATCAAAAACAAAAAGATATACAACATTCTAGCTTTCCAAAACAGATAAGTAGGGACAAAAACAGAATAACAAATCATTCCAGTACCACAAAACTGCTTTTCTTATGACAATAAGTGAAAATTATATAGTGGTGCATAAAGAAAGGATTTACACTAAATGGAATTATCAGTCTTCTACTACACCTGAGCACTCAAAAATGTCATTACTTACCCGTATTTTTGTCCTGTCACCATTGATGTTTGATAGATGATATAACACACTATCGAAGTCTGCTATAGTTACGTCAATGGACTCTGGTTTGTTGCTGTAAACAAGAAAAAATGAAATTAGGGTTCCTGAAGATAGCAACTCAAAATTTAAAATCACAGAGAGCAAATTGGTTGATTATATTTATTTTTGAAGTGATGATTTCCATATCTAGTATACATTTTCTCATTTCCCTTTTAATATAACATAATATCAATTAGTAGAGATATTTTGTATGCCTTTCACACTATATAAAATATTGAATTTATACACTGATTATCAAATCTACTTTACAAAATCAATTGAAAAGAACTGGTTTGTTTTTAAGAAAATGATCACTCCTCTTTTCTGTTTAGTAAGAATGTACACAAAAGAACAGAAATAATTACAAAAGACAATGGAGGAGAGAAAGACAGACAGAAACAATGAAAGAAAGAAAAAGAAGATAAAAGTAATAACAGAAGTGAATGTTCAATGTTTCCAAATAATGGTGAGAATAACACTAATAGTACAAAATTCCTGGAAGTTAAACTGGCATATACTAATTTAATCCTACAATCCTTTGTTTGCTTGGAGTATGGAATATTACAGAAAAAAATGGTTTTAGGCCAATAGGAATATTAAAGGGTAATACTCTTATGGAACAATGGTGAAATTACACGCTAGAGATTAGATAATGTTAGTGAGAGGCCATAATAAATACAAGGTAATTACACCTGTAATGACTGCCGTTATCCACTTCCCAACTCAACCTGCTAAAAACCTCCTATGGTCACAGAGTATTTACATTTATTTTTCTAAAAAGAACTAGATTTCCCTTCACTCCCTAAACCTTGATATAAAAAAGGAGCAAGGTCATTTAATAATAATGGCAATAATAAAATAAATTTTCATGTAATCACAAAAACTGCAACGACTATACTAGTTATAGTGAAATTCATTCAGTTTGAAGAGCAGCAAAATAAGAAATTCTCATAACTAATTAAAGTGGACATCCAACCAAATAATTCTTTGCCATTTTCAGTACATCATTCAAAATATTCAGGAACATTTACTTTCACAGACATTACAGCTATCTTTGGAGGCAGGTCAAAAGCTGAACTGTAAAGTATTGCAAAACAAAAAGAAAGATAAAGCAATATTCTGCATGAAAGACCTTGACTTTAAAAACACAATGAAAAGTCAACTGATATATCTTATCTGTTTGGAATACAATTAACTATCTATACATAACTGGAGCTAACTCTTCATGCTAACAAATGTCAGTGAATATACTGTTTAGATTTAATACTGAAACACCTTATATCATCTTAATATCCTATTTCAATTTTGTGATGTTTAGGCACGTTATGAAGTATGTTGTCAATAATGAAATATTGATATATATTCATGAAATGAAACCATAAGAGGCCTTCAAAAGGAAGTATTCTCCTAATCATATCATAATTCTCTCCTAAATTGTAGTTGCAGTAATTTCACTTTACACAAAAATTATGTCACAGCATATTCCATACAACAGGATTTCTACTGGTCATGCTATAGAATGTGTTCCCACCTAAGATGCTGTCTGCCTCAATTCAGGCTGCTCTAATCTTAATAAGCCTTCCCTATCTTCATGGGAGCTGAGAGAACAAAAGCGTATACCTGCAGCATACATCACTGTTCTCAAGAGGCAGACTAATATGAGAGAGGTGTTTTAGTTTAAAAAGTCTAGATACTTTTCAACCACAAAAAGTTCTGTGAAGTAAATCTGCAGACACTCTTCAGATACCCTTAAACAAGTAAATCAAAATAGCTCAAGACTGTATGTCTCTAATAACGTTATCTATCTTATGCATCCAAATAATAATGTGGCATTAGCAAACTCAAACTCTCCTAAAAGGTTAATTAATATTTTGCCATCCTTTTAGCCACTTGATGGTAAGGGGAAAACGCGCAAATAAATTTTAAAATGCTTTTGTGATATCTTATCAGTAACACTGAAGCCACTCCTTGTGGTGACCTTTACTCTTCATAATTCATAATCTCAATTCTTCAAAAATATCCACATCTCTATCTATCTATCTATCTATCTATCTATCTATAAATATAAACACATATGTCACATATACACAAATTCTATATGCTACTACTTTTATCTAACATGAAGTTAATATACTAAAACCTAACTAATGAAAACAAAGGAAAGAAAGATTACTTCTGATGCTTTCAATCAACATTTAGTAGCCAACAATAAAAAATGAATACAAAATAAAAACAATATATATCAAATAGGTATAGAGGTACATCTTGCAACATGATTATCAATTAACTTCGGAATTTATAATGCAATGAAGAATCTTGCTTTCCAAGTCACAGAATTACACCTCCGCTTGTCAGTCACACATTACATCAACAGTAATTATATGTTAAAACTTATTTGTGAAGAATTATTTTATCAAAGTTCATTAACAATAAATGGAAACATTGCAAGTAACAGGAAATGCTTATATTAAATTAAAATTACGGTTACATGAGCATGAAAGTAAAATGGGAAATCAGAATGAGTAGTGTATACAAAATCTGTAGTAATAAAAACAGGTAATAGAATGAAGGCATTTACTAAATCAAACATGTATTCTAGAATGCCATAGGGAACAAATTACAATTATGAAGAGCCATGGTTTGTGCCTTATGCCAACTGCACATATGTCCTACTCTGCCTCTCAGTACTGTAACCTATCCACTTTAACAAAACCTTGTAGTAATAGTGATTGTGAAACAATAAATAGTAAAAATGAAATCCATTACCCGAGTAATTACAATATACACACACATAAGATGAAAGCTATATGAAATGAAAGCTGTCTCCTGATAATTGAAAATCCCTTTTACTCCACCTACAACTATATTCATGTAAATTTTGACACCTTTACAATAAGTAATTATTTGTAAAAATAAAACAAACTGTATAACAATTCCAAGCCTCTAAATTATTCATATCAATGAAATATCTGGCTTTACAAGAAGAAATTGTAGCTTACTTGTCAATTATATACATCTTTCAACATCAAGGTATTTTTAGTTTTTGAATAACACTGCGATTGCTTCATTTAGCTCTGCATAGATGAAATTATATGTAAAGTACTTGGTTATAGCATGCAGATCTTGTGCAAAATATATAACACAACATGAGGTAAGTCTACAATAGTTTCAAACACTGATTTGAAATTGGCAATTATTATTCTGAAAGAAAGCTGCCTACCCAGCTCAGGCACCATCACTATCCTATACTATCCACTATGAATATAACTAGGATATTTTTTTTCTATAAGTTTAGTTGGTTTAGAAAACCCATTCCACTGGTACCAAACCAGTCTTGCTGGGTGAATTTATTTTTAGGCACAATAAATCTTGCTAATTAATCCACACTGACTTTCAAAATGGAACATTTTTTCTCATAACTGTACTTGGTTGTGTTCTATCCAAAAGATTTGTCAAACTTGCTGTGATCTCTAATGACAGGTTTACATCTTAAACCACTGATGCTGGGAGGGCATCTGTAGTACATATATACCTTGTCACTATGCTTTTAGTTTCAATTTTGTTTAAACAGATTGTTTTATGGGTGCTCCACCATGGAGTCAATTACTAAGGTCATCTCACTTAACCTGTTACCTGTTTAGAAAGGGAAGTTTTTATATTCACTACTATTAGTAGTGTTTACCCTATACTGATGGGGCATGAATTTTCTGTATATCACTTATTCTTGTGCCTACTGGCATCGGTCTAGCCTTTCCAGCTAGTCTCCTTGTGATATTTTTCATACCATTTTTTTTTTTTACATTATTTTTTGCCTGATCAGATTACTTCATATATCAGTTTAGTTTTTCTTTTTCTTTTTGACAATATCCTAAGTTTTCCCTGTCTTAAAGCAGTTATGAAAATACATACCAATATTATATCAATAACATTGAAAATACAACTTATCCCAAAAAGTTGAGTTCCTGTAGGCCTAGTGACTGATAATTTGGTTACTTGCTGCTTGTGAAGCCGTTAAATTATACAGTGGATACTGCATGTACCTTGAGCACTTACTTCATCAAGGCTTTCTAAATATGTTGGCATTGTAGGCAACATCCCTTCACCATGTTGTCTGATAAGATAAAGCTTGTGCTGGATTTTATTCAATAATGCATTTTCACAGAGCTTGGAAAACTATCTTGCCTGAAATATATGTGTAAGACATTTACTGGCTTTTGCTACAGCATAGTTAGGTAAATTTTACAAATGTACCTGCAATGGGTTTCAAAATGGGGTCTTTACTAAGCATTCTAGCAGCGGTCTACCCAAATCTACTTTAAACTTGCTGTGATTTCTAACAGAAGGCCTACCATTTTAATTCTGACAGTTGCAGGTGTCAAGCAAAAAAAACTTTATACATATGGCCTACATCACATGTCATTTGCTAAGGTAGTTTTGCCTGTTGGCCTATGGCTCACCACTAAAATCAAGGAGGATGGAGATACTCTGGGCTGTCAGACCAGGAAGTCATCAGACGGATTGGCCTGGCAGTAGGGGTCATGAACTCTCTTGACAAGAGTATTTGGAGATGCTAGTACCTGTACAGGAGGACCAAACTATGTGTTTTCAGGGCCCTGATAATGCCAGTTTTACTATACGGCAATGAAACTTAAACTTGGAGTTTCGCTTTAATGCCTTTTGTAATAGCTCCTAGTGCCAGATCATGGGATACTGTTGGTGGAACTACGTATTCAACCAATGGTTACACCGTGAGACTGGCTCTGGACCCGTTATTTACACAATCCATGATCGCCAAATTAGGCTATACGGCCACTTGGCATGCTTCCCACAAAATGATCCTTCCCATCAGGTTGTCCCTGTACGAGACAACCCTATGTGGAGGAGGCCTGTGGGACGACCTAGAAGTCATGGCTTGGGCAGATTGATCAAGCCTGTCATGAGGAGCTCGAGATGGGCCGAGTCCCTGCCTGGCAGCTTGTCATGCGGAATCCTCGTAGGTGGTAGTGGCTATGCGCTCCCATCAGCGTTAGCTTCCCGATGATAATGTTGGACATACAACAATGCCATTAGTAAGAACTGTAGCCCATTTGACTCTTTAAATTCATATGCAGATATTTATAAAAACACTGACTAATCTATAATCATCTAACACTGTGGTTCCAGAGTAAGACATTTGACATCTCCCATCTTTTAAGATTATATTTACACCTGATTCTCATCGGCTGTTCTACAAATCTGATTTCCATAATAAAAATATAAGCATAACTTATTTCAATCTATATAAAAAAGGTCATACTGAGGGTTAGTATAGGATCTTGGGTATAGTTTCATGTCCATTTTATGTTAACAGGTCACTTCAAAGCTACTGTATAATCTATCATTTATAACTCTTAACAAAATGGTTTCAAAGTAATGTAAAATGCATGTAAAAAAGAAAAGAACTTCTCAGAAATAGAACAATGAATAATCATTATATAATTTTCTTAAACAACTGCAAATTTCCTTATTCTTCATTTCTCAGAAGACTTGTCAAGCAATCAACACACTGCACTTCACTGAACCTTGTGCCCCAATCCAGCTGACCTTAACAATACCTCATTTCTACACCAAAAACATAGCAGCTGTCACCATCTTATGCTTCTGACTTGGCATTTCACACCTTTGGTCTTCCACAGAGGATAAATCAGCTAATAAATCCATACATTTCAAATTAATCCCGAATTACTCACTTTCTCTGGCCGTTTCTCCCTCTGACTCAGCCCCCCCTTCCTTTCCTCAACTCAAATGTCAAGTGCTTCTCGTTCGGAGACGGGAAACTGCCCTTCGTTTCCCGATCAAATGCGACCCAAAAGCCACCCAAAGACACACAGGCCGACGGAGTGACATTTTCTTTCAAGATAAGATAGAAGTTGTTACTATCGAGGTTCTCGAAGTCCCAGCTCATCACCCTCCTAGTGCTATGACTCACACAAGGTTACCCACCGCTGTTTCGCCTTCTCCCTCTTCAACCAGGGTGGGAAAAGGTTTAAAAACGACTGCTTTCGATAGAGCTGGGCCTCGAATACCCGAAATAAAACACTGCTACCACCTCGACCTCGACCTCGAAGGCAGACGATGGCTCTTCAACCTCGTCTCACAAATGGGTTTTTCCCATGCTTCTGTATGCGAATTCCCCTCTCATTTTTTCACCGTGGGAGTAACAGGCCCATACCTATCAAAAAACAAATCCTCCGCTCGACAAAACGCCTCATGTGAGAGCTTAAAACTCGACCTCGAAGGCAGACGATGGATGGTTCCTCTCCCTCGCCCTCGTACCGGTCTCTCGTATCACACCCCCATTTCCTTCACTTACCCATTTAAGGAATTCCTAATCTTCACCGTCAGCGTTTCCTCAAGGATTCTGTTATTAATCTCCAAGAGAATCATGGTGGTAGCGGCATGAGGGGCGACTCAGCGAGGAAAAATACTTGAGGAGAGGGCGGAGGGCGTCTCTCCAACACACTTGATAACGCCAGACTAACGATATCAACTTCCGTTCCATTTTTACTTATTTTCACCGTTTCTAACTCTCGTTTGGGCTATTTTCTCCTTTCCTATCATTTCCTTATTTTATTATGGATTTTTATACATCAGTTTTCTTGAGCTAAAGGGAGAAATATGGGATTAATTTATTCATATGGGAATATTGCATGTAACTCGTTCCAATAATATTTCGAATGTAAACATTTATCTTGCAAGTTCATATATTCTCATTTCATTCCCCCTTTTATATCTTTTCAGCTACCTAAATGTTTAATATATAGTTTTGTGGACAATTTAAAAGCAAAGTAGACATCAGCTGATAAACTGATAAGCATATTGTAATGTAGATTTTTTACAAAAATTTTCACCGAAAATTGGGAAAATATTTACCATCTGAATTGAGCCAAATCTTCAAACGAATGAAGCGATGCCTCAATGAGGATATCCAAAAGTCAACGTATATAAAAAGGAATAAAAATAATCCAATATGAGGATATCATAAGAAAATAAGGTAAGACAATCAGCTGAGACATTTTAACAATACGGAAAATAATTACCATTTAAATAGTGTAAAAAATATGTAATATCAAAATTATGGCTAACTCTTACTATTAGAAATCCACTAAAAATAGAGAGTGGTTAGGAAAAGTTCAGAATAAAGAGAAAAATGGAGAAGAAAAAACAGTCTCCATCAGTGACCTCGAGAAGCAAGAGAGAGAATCAGCTGAGACGATTTTACAATTTTGAATATCAATTTAACATTCCCAATGGCTCACCGGACACTCTGTTGCATAAAATTACTCTTGTTCTAACATTTGTTGTTGTGTTGCATCGCCTGAGAGGATAAAAATGGCTGCAAGAGAGAAGAAAGTGGACGAAACGAGTTATGAGGTGAGCGGATCTGTCAAAGTTCTTGGAGGTTTGACCTTGTTTGTTTTATGTTACTTGTTTTGGCGTCTGACCTTACTTTGTTCGCTCTTTTATGTTTATTGGAAGGCTTTCTATGGTAGATTGCTTTTGTTTGTAAAGGGAATTATCTTCAATTTTATGAATTGTGTGGTTTGTTTACATGTCACCTATTTGTTTACATTATACCATGCAGTCAGCCACTTTTGTTTTGTCTTTCAAATTTTTCCTTCCTCTACCCTCTCTTTTGTTTTCTTATTCATCTTTGTAATCTTCAACCTCTTGTTCGTTTGTTTACCATTTTTTATATCTTCTTTTCCTATTATACTCCTGTCTCACTCTTCCTCCTTCTCTTCCTTATCTCCCTCCCATCCCCCCTCATTCTTGTTCTTGCTCATTTTCATCTACTTCTTCTATCAGATCTGAAAGACCATCATACTGTTTTTATGAAAGGGTTGATGAAACATGTACATCTTTGTAGTCACACATGTTTGATGTGGCATGAAATGTTCCTGTTTATATTATTTGGTAATATATCTGTCATCTTTATCGAAAGTTCAAAAGCTGAGAATATAGGCTTCTTGATGATCTACACATGTTGACATTTTTGGTAGGGTAATTATGTATATGAAGTTTTAAAGGGTAACGAAACTCCAATATATATATTCTAACAAGTTTGAGATTAGACTGGTTCCTTAGATTTGATAATGAATTGGAAGGGAGGTCTGCAAACTCTATGGTATGTGTTAGAGATTGTTGATAATGTTTGCTGAATGGTTGGCTTGCTTTATTTGAGCGGCTATTTTTGAAGTTGTGCAATGCTGCTATGGTGATGCAAACCACTGATTCTATTGGTCACCATCTCTCCCATTGTGCAGGAAAAGTTTAGGTCCTAATTGCATGTAGCACAAGTGACGCTAAAACTCCTGAACACAAGATCAGTACTCCGACACCTTAGCCCCAGAGCTATTGGATGCACAAGAAATAATAATTGTGATTTCTCAGTGTCTGTGATTAGGCCAGAATGTGATAATGATTATTTAGTGATTTATGAAGGAAATTATGCTAATCCTTGCAATGCCATTTCTTTAAGTTTTAGTCCTGTCACATTGTCAGGTAAATGTTTAGCACAGTTCGTAATTATGGAAGTTATTTAATTGGAGGTGCATAACAGATTTGCTTTCATGTGTTACAGTGAAAATATTGGTGAAAAGGACTATATGTGTCTAGCTGATTGTTGGGTAGAAGTTGTTTCATGTTATTGCTGTAGCCTCAGCCATGTATATTCTTCCACAATATATTGCTAGGGAGGTGTACAAGTTCAGATATTGCTGGAATTCATGTAGACTCTGCTTGAGTTGTGGCAAGTATCATGGTTTCCTTCTTCATTTTAGTTTTTATCACAGATCACAAGTGTCATATAGACTTTATGATTATGAAGAAAATTTTCCATTTTGAAAAGCATTGCAAGTGTTTTGGAAACATTTTGCAATGTGCTTTTTATTAGATTACAGGATTTTTGTGTGTGATTGATATGATATGAAAGAAATTATTTAATGAATTGAATTTACCATATTTGTTCCTTTAAAGCTTGAGAACTTTCAATATTTGATCTGTTATGTTTAGCAGAACTTGTGTGTTCTGTTATAAAGGGTCTTGCATGTAGAGAGAGCAGGGAATTAAGAGTGGGTATGGATAGACAAATATGGTTGTCCTGTATTTTGCAATATTCATATGCTTCTTTCATGACTTTAATGATTTAATGAAAGCCCCAAGAATTAGAAAATACAATTTTTTTGATGATTAGAATTACAGATTAATGCCAAATATAGCACAAAGCATGCAAATATGAAATGGACTTAGATTGCCCTGGAATTTTGCTTTAACCTCAAAGAAACTAATTTTATGGTAGTATGTAATGTAACATCGCTTGTACCTTATGCAAATGCCTTATATATTTTTTTTTTCATCAAACACCCAACTATTACTTGATCAATCATGTATTTCTTATTGACCTCATCTTCAAGTAAGTTTTTAAGGCACATGAAGTTTCTGAAATAGGAAGGTTAGAAGGTGACAGTTTCAAAGGTATGGCATATTGTACATGTAAGTTATAATACCATAGAACAACATCTGAAGTTTATTTTGGTAGAATTCCTGATGTTAGGTAGATTATGTGAACTAGGGCCTATATCTAATCTTCACTGGTTTAGATGGAAAGTTTTCATACTTAGTGTATTCATTCCATAAATGTCAGTCAGGAAAAACATAGTGAAAAACAGATTATGATTTAATACATATAATGATAATGATAATAACAATGAGTGTGATTATGACTGATGATGATATCTCATTTCTGATAATGATGATAATGATATTGAAGAGACCACCACCACTTACCTGCCACCCACCCCACCTACCCACCCCACCCCCACCTACCTGCCACCCACCCCCACCTACCCATCACCCACCCCACCTACCCGTCACCCACCCCCCACCTACCCGTCACCCACCACCCACCTACCCACACCAACCCCCACCTACCTGTCACCCACCCCCACCTACCACCCCACCTTACCCGTCACCCCACCCCCATACCGTCACCCACCCCCACTACCCGTCACCCACCCCACCTACCCGTCACCTACCCGTCACTACCCCACCTACACTCACCCCCACCTACCCATCACCCACCTACCCGTCACCACCCCCACCTACCCGTCACCCACGCCCACCTACCGTCACCACCCCCACCTACCCGTCACCACCCCAACCTACCACTCACCCCCACCTACCCATCACTCACCCCCACCTACCGTCACTCACCCCACCTACCCATCACTCCCACCCTACCTCCCACCACCACCACTACCACCTCCCTCCACCCAGCATCACCTACCATTTACCCATCACCCATCACCACCTATACGCTACCCACCACCACTTACCCACCCACCACATACCCACCTTGTACCTACCACGTACCCACCACATACCCACCACCCACTACCACCTACCCACCATTCACCACCACCTGCCCACCATCCACCGCCATCCCCCCACCACTACATGCTCACCACCCATCACCACCTACCCACCACCACTACCACACTGCTATAATCAATACCATAAACATACCATTACTATTACCATTACCGTAACCGTAACACTACTAAATGCTTCTGCTGCTGCTACTACTACTATTACTACTACTACTAAATCTACCATTACTACTACTTCTACTACTACTACTACTACTACTACTACTACTACTACTACTACTACTACTACTACTACTACTTCTACTTCTACTTCTACTTCTACTTCTACTTCTACTACTACTACTACTACTACTACTACTACTACTATACTACTATTTCTACTATACTACTATTTCTACTATACTACTACTACAACAACAACTTCTTCTTCTTCTTCTTCTTCTTCTTCTTCTTCTTCTTCTTCTTCTTCTTCTTTCTTCTTCTTCTACTGCTGCTACTGCTCCCACAAATGTTCATCCTGTTACCTCTCCTCGAGTCCCATAATGCTAATACAATTATGACCAGAGTTATGATAAGGATTATTGTGAAGAGAATGATATCTACGATTAGGACAAAGAAGGATAAAAAAAGCCAAGGAAATATTGAAAGGTTTTCCCGAATGTGCAATCCGTTCGTCCTGGTGGTAATGGGAGGTTTTCTTTTTTTTTTTTTTTTTTTTTTTTTTTTTTTTTCTAAATATCTTGTTTTATTTTATGTTGCTTTGTCTTATACAATGGCTCTGGCGATGGTCAAGGAATGAGTGTAAAAAGTTGACAGGGGTAATTGACTATGAAGACATTCGTTATTACTGTGTTCGGATAATCTACAACAAAAATGTAAGAAATGTGCATAGAGCTTTGTTGTTATGGTACATAGCAGTGCATGTATATATGTGTGTGTGTGTGCGTGTGCGTGTGCGTGCGTGTGTATTTATGCATTTATGTATATAAATTGTTGTATATATTTGTAAATAAAACATAAATATATTTATTTAAATATAAGTTCAAGCGAAATTAGGTCTTAACACTGAACTGACCGTTTGCGAAATA